CGGGGGGGGGGGGGGGGCGGGGGGGGGGGGTGTGGCGGCCGGTGGGGGGGAGGGGGGGTGGGGCTGGGGGAGGGGGGGAACGGGGCCCACCCAGCGGGGGGGGGGCCACCCGGAAGGGCCGGGGGGCTCTAGCGGGCGCGGGGGCGGCGGGGCACCAAGAAATTCTATATAGGGGCGTGGGGGGGCGGCACCGAAACAAAAAGGGCACACCCCGGGGCGAAGGGGGAACACAAAACTCAGGGTCGGGGTGGGGGAATCAACAATAGATAAGGAATCTAAACACCAGGGCGGGGGTGGTGGGGGACGAGGAGGGGCGGGGGTGGGTGGGGGGAACCCCACCGGGGGCTGGAGGGGCATCAGGGGCGGGGGGGGGAGGCTCAGGGCCAGGGGGGGGGACGGGGGGAGGGATGGGTGAGAACCGGCGCACGGTCGAGGGGCGGAATCCGGACAACAGAAGCCGCAAGGGGGGCGTGGGGGGAGGGAGGGGAGGGGTGCACCACACCGGGGGCAGGGCACACAAAACGGGGGGGGGGGGGGGGAGGGGGGGGGGCGGCGGGTGCCCATTCAAAAGAAGGGGGGAAACAAATGAAGGACGGGGGGGGGACACAGCGGGGGGTGGAGACAGGGGGGGGGGGGAGAAAGAGGGGCGGGGAGGACCACGGGGGCGGGGGGTGGGGGTGGTGTGCGGAGAGACGTCCCAGGCCCCGTCGGGGCACCCGGTTCGGGATGGGAAGCCGGGCAGGGGACAATGACCAGGCCGGGCGGTGGGGTCACATCACGGGGGAGGTGAGGGGGGGGGAAACGGGGTGGGGGGGGGGGGGGGGGTGGCGGTGGCGCCATCAGCCACCCAAAAGAAGTTGTGGGGGGGGGGGGGGGGAATGGGGGGGCGGCGGGGGGGGGGGGGGTGGGACTCAACCCCACCCACCACCAGGTGCAGAAAGTTTGTTTTTGCTTCGTCCCAGGGGGACAACCCCAATGTGGTTCCGGTTTGCGGGCGGGGGGGAGGGGGGGGCGGGGGGGGGAGGGAGGAACAACATTCAAGCCGACGGCGGGGGGCAATAAAAGTGGATGGATCCAGGGGGGGGGGCGGGGGGAAAAAGGTGCGAGGCACGGGACGGCGGGGGGGGGGGCGCGCGAGCAACCAAACAACAAACCAACCAAAACCACAACGGGGGTCGGGAAGGGGGGTGGGAAAAAGGGGGAGGCCACGAGACTGGGGGGGGACCCACCGATACGGGGGGGGGGAGGGGTGGGAACCACACCACACGACGGGAGGGCAGGGGGAGGCGGGGGGGCGGTCGGGGGAAAAAACAAAATAGGGGGGGGGAAAAACCCGGCGACAAACAATCCCCACCGGGGGGCTGGGGTCGGGGGGGTGCAAACCAGCAGCGAAATAAGGGGGGCGAAAAGGGGGGGGGGGGACGGGGGGGCGAGGCGGAGGGGGGGAGAGGGGGGGGAGGGGGCGGGGGGAGGGGAGGGAGGGGGGGATAGATCAGGGGGGGGCCGCGGGGGGGCGTGGAACGACTACCACGAAGGTGGCGGGTCGGGGGGGGGACACATCAGAAGGGGGGCGGGAGGGGGGGGGGGGCGGGGGGGGTGCGGTGGGACACACGTTGCGACAGTCGTTTGTGTTGGTGGTTCGCATTGAGCTCCGTCGCTCTCACTCAATGATCTGTGATGTGTTTTGCTGCCAAGTGTGCGCGTTTCTCATCCCAGACTGCAGAAATGACCTTCGGTGTGTACTAGCAGGTATGACTGCAATTTACATACAACTACCCAGTACACGGGATTAGGGTTACTTCGACGACTTTGTCACAAGAGGGTCGAGCTGTAGTTGAAGAACATTCCGTATCATGAAGCGGGCGTAATGTGGATCAGTGTGGGCAGCGAATCCATGTTGGCAATAAGTGTGCGAAAAGCACAGGGGCGGAATAGAGGACTATGGGGTTTAATAACGGCGTTAGCACTTGTGTGAGTTTATTTTTTCTGTGGGATTTATTGATGGGGTGATTATTTGATTGGATTTGAGTGGTAATTATGAGGGGTGTTCGCATTATTAAGGTATCACAACAACAGTGCACGGACCTGCTTGTTTGCTCCACTTTGTACCCTGATAATATACCGCCTTCTCTTTGCGGGCATAAGGTTTTCTGGTCGTCCTTAGGTCCCTCCTTGGGTTTACGAAGTGGTCTGTTTGACGGATGTGGTGCACACTTTGACATTGCCCATATTTTCGGGCCTTTAGTTGGTCTGTCTGCGCACCATAAATCCGGAACACTATGCCGGTGAAACCCAGACTTATGCGAGTAACTCTAGAATCCTCCACCGACGTAGAAAAAGTTTTGCTCTCCGCAAGCGCGCTAATACACGAATCCTGTGTGATACGTATCTATCCTGATGTCCCTGGGAGCGCGCGACAACCAAAACGAAACACCGAAGAGGGGCACTGCAAGCAAGACCGCCTAAACACAATCTTCATACATGGCGTGCCAGAACATCCTTCTAACGATGTTCAAGAGATCGAAAATCACGATGTAGAACAGTGGCGGTTCATTCGCGAAACACTATTTTTTGGATAATGTTGTGGCACTATCGCTCACCAGGATATCTCTCTCACCGAATTATAGAGGATGCGGCCCTAGGATCCTAAAACTTGTGGTTCAGTCAGAGCAACAAGCAAAGGATGTTTTGGATCGATGGCGGAGAAATCGGAAACATCTTCCTTCCGAAATTCGGTTAAAGGTCGCAAACACTTTGCACAGCTCAAATATTAAAGTAACTGAAGCAGCAAGCATACTGTCGAATGTACAGAAGTGTAACTTGACTGCTGCTTTACTTGACTCTGACGTAGGTCTAAACGAAGGCTGGGACGCACCTTGGCCGAATCAAGTTGCAAACGAGGTATCATAGACATATCAAAAAACGGGTAACTGCCGACCTCCCATCGGTCGGCATTCTCCCACACTTGACAGCTTCCCCTCTTTGCGGGCTCCTAGAGGCCGAGAAACTGGCCTGCTTGTATACAAATTCTCAGGGACTTTCTAACAAACTGGCTGAACTGAAAGATCGCCAAGCTTCCGGCTTGTATGATGTCACTGGTATCACCGAGACATGGTTGTACACGGGAATAACGGACGCTAAAGTGTCCCTACCCGGCATGTCGCTGATCCGGAACGGCAGGCTAACAAAAGGAGGAGGGGTGATCCTGTATTACCGAAACGACTTACAGTGCGAAGCCGTGGAGGACTCAGATTCGCAGTTCCCCGACTCTCTTTGGTGCCGGTTGCAGTTAAAACGCAGGGACGCTTGCCTTATCGTCTTGGTGTACAGCGCCCCTAACTCAACACCCGAAACCGATTACCACCTAATGGCTGCTTTAAGGTGCAGTTTACAACCAAAGTACACTCAAATTCTTATCATGGGTGATTTCAACGTACATTGTTTATAAGCCCCTGCCACGATCGGAGAACAATTCAAAACCAATCTACAAGATCTAGTATCTACTGTTCCTCTTTACAACCACATCACTTTGCCCACTCGGTTCAGAACTGGTAACACGCCATCTGTGCTGGATGTTGTGCTTACCAACGAGGAGCATATTATTGATGCGTTGGATTTAGTCTGCCCGTTGGGTCGCAGTGATCACGCAGTCATCAGTTTCAACTTCGTCTGCTATGCAGAATATCGGAATGATAACGATGGTGCTGTGCGAACCATCACAAGGTACGACCGACTCGCCCAGCTCGTCAGCGTCGCAACTTGGTCTCTCCTCGAAGAAGAACCCCCGGAATTCACCTGGCTCGAGTTCGTCAACACATTCAGTCAGCTGATTGCACAGGCTTCAGAGATAAAAGCGTGCAGTAAGTGCAAATCAGTTTCTTTCGTTAGGAGCAGAACCCAAAAATAGATGACAGTACGCAACGCAGCATAACGAGTGTACAGAGAAGCTCTAGCACCAGAAACATGGGACAACTACGTAGCCCAACGTAACCACTTCACTTAACTGTTAAGAGAAGACAAAGCCGCCTATCAGCAGAACATCGCAAAAGACTTCAGTGCTAACCACAAGCTGCTGTATAATCACGTTAATAGCCTACGAAATGTGAGGCAAGGATTTCTTTCACTCAAAACGGCTGATGGCCCAACAAGAAAGTCTATGGAAGCTGCAAACGCGCTGCAGATGCAATACGCTCCCACGTTTCAAAGAGTCTTGCCACCAAGCGATCTACCAAGCTTTGTATTCTGCTCACCAGTACTAACCCACATCAATTTTACCGCAGAGGCTGTATTGCAAAAGCTGACTTCTCTACGCAAACACAGCTTGCCAAGTGTCGACCCCATTTGTCCAGAGGCATTAGGGGCAGCAGCAAACCAACTGGCAGGAACTTTAGCTCAGTTTTTCCAGCGCTGCTTAGACCAGAACCAAGTTCCCGCCATGTGGAAGCTTGGAATAATAAGCCCGATTCACAAAGGTGGAAACAGAACTGATCCCTCCAACTACCGCCCAGTAACCCTTCTTCCTATACTCTCCAAGGTCATGGAATCCATAGTTGCCGATGCACGGTGTGCTATCTGGAAAACTGCAACCTCATCACCCCTAAACAGCACGGTTTCCGTCGACAGCGGTCATGTGCAACTAATTTACCAATTGCACGCAGTAGTTGGACCGAGGCAGCCGACGCTGGAGAAGGTGTTGATGTGATCTACTTGGATTTTTCCAAGGCTTTCGATCGTCTAGACCATCGGATACTACTATCCAAGCTGCAGCATTACGGGATCGGAGACCCTCTTTTAAGCTGGTTCGCCAATTTTCTATTTCAACGGCAATTGGTGGTCAGAGTTCGGAGCTTTTATCGGACCCCATACAAGTGGAGTGTAGTGTGCCGGAATGCTCAGTTCTAGGTCCACATTTGTTTATGGTGTTTATTAATGATCTTGCACAGGGAATCGCTTCAAATATCCTAATGTTTGCCGACGATATCAAGATCTGGCGCAGGATCCAGGCGAACACCGACCAACATGTGCTTCAGAGTGATTTAGATACTGTGTATCAATGGTCGACCCAAAACGTATTGCATTTCAACGTAAGTAAATGCAAGGAGCTTTCCATCCGACATCAAAGCAGCTACTCATACCGACTCGGAACGGATGTACTGCAACAATCCTCTCGAACTTGACTTTGGTGTCCTGGTTCAAGATGACTTGGGTTTCTCCAGGCAATCCGAAAAGGCCTCGAAGACCGGGAGCCAACACGTCTAGCTGTTGAGGAGGGCGTTCGGACAAATAAACAGCTCCATATTTCGACAAATGCTCAGTGCGTATGTTCGCCCCATGTCAAATATGCAATTCAAGCCTGGCCTACATGGCTGAAACACGACCTTAATGCACTGGAGCAGCCACAACGCCGGGCACCTAAGAACGTAATTGGAATGCGCAATCTTTCCTACCAGGAGAGGCTGCGACGACTAGGATTGTTCAGTGGAAGCTATCATAGACTACGAGGCGACTTGATTATGGCATACTTGATTCTGCGAGACCCACATCATGTGTGCTGCCTTTTACTGCAACTCAGCAGCAATACAAACCTGAGGGGCCACTAATTAAAACTCGCAGAACAATACAGTCGTTTGGAGTGCCGCAGCAATTTCCATTCCATCCGTGTCTGTCACCCGTGGATTGCTCTCCGAGAATCTGTCTTCTCTGCATCGACAATAACAGTATTTAAAAGACGGTTGGACGATGCACTCATCCACGTACACTTTGTTACTTAACACTATGTTTCCATCCTACACCTGGAATTTGCCATGGAATTATTTGTTGTTAAATGTGGACGCTGTGGATCTAAGAGGATTGCAGGACTGCAGCAAAGCAAAAGAAAACTCCTTATTTTCATGTTAAAGTGTTAACTATTTTACTGTTCTTATCAGCATTATTATTTTGCTGATATCCCCTGCAACTATCCAACAGGACTGGTAAAGCAATGCTTCTTAACC